CTCTCCTCTCCTCTCCTCTCCTCTCCTCTCCTCTCCTCTCCTCTCCTCTTTTTGCATGTATTTAGTTACATGAATATTCCAAGTTCATAAATAGAAAACTGTGCTATAGGTGTTGCTTTATCTAGTCTGTGTTGGATGCAGCAGCCTGGGAGGAGGTCATGCCCTGCCATGACATCTGTGACTGCCAAATCTGGCACTGGTTTCAGCTTTGCTCTCAGGTGTTCCAGCTGGTGCTGCATGCTTACAACCTGACTCTGTGAGCCGAATGTCCTTCATTAAGGGTTCACATTAGGGGCCACCTTGAAGACAAAATTCATTAGGGCAAAAACTGATCAAAAAGTTGGCAGCCAGGAGGGGCAGCAGTTCCACAGCTGGGTTACCGCTGTCTGTGAAGTGGCCTGATGCTGTATATCATTCACATTCTTTTTCTTTTAGCACTGGAATTTTTTAATTTTTCCCAGAGTCATCTAGAACTTGCCCAGCCAAGTGCCATATTGTGCTGTGTATATCTTAGTCCTCTGAAACTTAGTCCTGCTGTCTGGGAACAAATTAATCTGATTTTACCAAGCTGACTGAAGTGACCAATGCAAGAGTGAAGGACTGAATATATATTTAAATACTATGCAATCTATGAAAAAACCAAACCACACAAAAGATATAAAGAGGACATAGTGTTAAAATTCAGCTTCTTGATTTTCCTGAACTCTAAAACCATTTCAAGAAATGCTGTTCAGAAAATCACTGACAGGGCTGCTTTCTGACATTGCTTTGCCTGACAGAAGGAAATTCAGTGAAATAAGCAAGATTTGTATACATGTGAACAGACAAAATTTAGCTCTGAGTTGTTCATCTGCTGTGACTGCAGCAGAAAATATTATCTGACCATATTCTGTTCTTTATCTTGGTATGATTTTGACAGAAGAGAGATGACATTTATCCAGTATTTAACACATCTCAGGAAATTCTGTAAAGTTTTAAATAGAAAAATATCTATAGCCCTTTCTAACCAATCCTGCCTCTATGAATAGGTAATTACTGAGATTAAACAAGTGTCTCTAAATTGCTTATCTATTCCAATTGCTTCTATTTTCTGCTGGCTTTATGATTTGCTGTCTAAAGAAAGCATGAAAGAGATATTTATTTTGCTTTTGAAATAGCTTGCAGAAGATATGACTTTCATTTCAGGAATAGCAACAATTTGTTGAGGAATAAAAACTATATTTTGCGATCTTAAACTGGTTTTCACTTAAAAGTTTCTGAAGCAAGAGAGCTTGTATGTATTTTTAATCTTCTAAGTTTAAAATCTCATACTATTCAAGAAAATAAAAGCAGCAAAAAAAAAAAATCTAGTTGAGTTAAAATAACAATGTGACTTCTTTCTCCAAGAAAAGTGTCAGTAATGAAAGAAATTGCTGTGCCTGATCCTCAATCCTAGTTCTCAACACTTGCAGCAATAATAGCAGTTATTTTTTTTTTAGTCCTTTATATTGTACTGTTGGGGATGTTCTGTCCTTAATCTAAGATTGTAAATATGAATAAACCATGATCCTGCTGATAGATAATCCTTTGACTTTAGCAGAGCAGTGATTACATTCACAATTCTCTGCAGCCGAAATGTGAACAGGACTAAGCACAAACCTTAGGTCTGCTTATTTCTGTTTCTGAATTTTACTGAATTCTAATTACTAAATTTGCCAAAAATAAACTGTTCATTTTCTTTGTGACCTTTATAAAAATTTTCTTAGTTTAATTCGTGAACCACAAAAAACCATAAAAAATGCTGCACAGTATTTGTAGTACTTGAGCCTAAATTCCTATATATAATATACCTGAATATATAAATTTAATACACCTCTGCTTGAGTGGAACTTAAACAAAGGATGAAGGAAGACTATTTACAAGAGCATGTAGTGATAGGACAAGGGGAAATTAGTTCAAATTGAAAGAGAGTAGGTTTAGACTAGATATGAGGAAAAAGGTCTTCACTGTCAGGGTAGTGAGGCACTGAAACAAGTTGTTCAGGGAACGGCCCAGGCTGGATAGTGCTTCTAGCAGCCTGCTCTGCTGGAAGGTGTCCCTGCCCATGGCAAGGGTTGGAACAGGATGATCTTCAAGGTCCCTTCCAACCCAAACCATTCTATGGTTCTATGATAATGCCTTTTATCTAAAGAAGCTGGACAGATTTTACAAATATAGACTCTTCAAGAATTTCTTCCATACTACTTTGTCTTCTAAATATTTGTCAGGTGCCTTGCACATGATAATAGTAATTTGAACTGTAAAGGGTCAGGGACTAAAAGGCAGTTGTGTCATGTTCCTTAAGTATCAGATTTTTTTGTTTAGAAGTTATATTTCTGTATGGAGATCAGAAAAAGGTGAATATCTCTTTGCTTCCTTTACAGGTTATTGTTCACAACCTGTTGATATATGGAGAGAACATAGATGTGACCATTGGAAGCACCATTCCTTGTTGATCACATGAATTATTTTTTTTTTAAGTATAGACTTGAATCCCTATGTAATGTTTTTGAATCTTTAGAAGACTAAAATGAAGTAAACTAAATATCTACTTTTATCTTAAAGAACTTCTAGAAGCAGTATATCCTGTTGTAACTATTGCAATATCCTTACTTTTAATTTGTGGAAGTATAACTGGTTACTCTAATAGCAGTTATCTCTTTCCTCCCACTATCATTGTCTTGTTCAGATGAGTGGATAGAATCAGCTGACAAAAAAGGTGTGTAACTTTTACTCTCTGCTGTATTTTCACTCCGGCTTGCAGTGGTTTTTATGTGTCACCAAAATGTGTGGTTCAAAGACAAAATATACTTTAATGATACACTTTAATTAGGAATATTACGTGGGAAACATTTGTGAAGACAAGTGTGTGTCACCTGGAGCTAAAAGGTTCCTTTTCAGGACCTTGTTAAAATTTTTTGTAATGTTACAGAAAGACCTGTATAAAATGCTTCTGTGTCCTAGACACAGGAGTGGGATTCTAATTTACCACATAATCACTCACTTGGTGATTGCAATATACTACAAGTGAGAAGCATCTGATTTTTCACTTGTTTTCCTTTTAATGACATTAATCAAATCTTCAGGACTACAAAATAGTTCTGAAGACGGATCTGTCAGATTTGCCTTTTTCCTTCCCTCAGTCCTTCCCTCCTTCCCTTTTCTGTGGTGACATTCACTCTGCAGTTGGAAAGTAATTCCATCATGTGTTGCAGTAGTATGACTAATCTTAGGTGACAGCACTATATCCTTATGGTTTTTGAAAACAGAAAAGCTAATTTCACAAGCAATAAAGCTTGACAAAATAGAAGTTCTGTTTTACACTTACATCTGGTCTTTCATGTTAGGTTTAATGGATCTTGTTATCTATATTCTAGTGTAAAAGAAGAACATTGCCTATAGGAAGTGTTTCTCACTTAGGCCTAACCTAAAATTTGCTCTGCTTGTAACATGGAAATAATTATTAGAAAACAGTTATTTAAAATAAACCACAATTATCAACATGCATTTTGAAGAGTAATCCACAGATACAACCAAAAATAATGTGCCCTGGTGTAATTCTCAGCTACGTCAGTAATTTCCTGACCACTTTCAAATGTCTTGCAACTAAAAATATACTTGCAAATAAATCTAGCCAGGTTTAGCCTCTACAGGCATAGGATGAAGTGTTTGCTTGTCACTACTCATAGCTGATGTCTGTCACCCACCAGATGTATTAGCAGCATTTGCAGTCAAATCCATCTTTAGTATGATTTATACTGGCAATTTTATTATCTCTAAATGCAGGAGCTCATTTTGGATAGTGTCCAAAGAATTCATTTGAATGTTTGATCTGACTTCTGTCAGGGAGTCTGAACATGTTCTGGTCCCATACAAATGGGTTGTGGTCTCAGGCATCATCCTACAGCTGCAGTGTTGCTCTTTTTGTATTTTAAAAAGCTACAGAGAACAGGTCTTAGTTTACAATTAGTGCTTGCACACTTGATTCTTAAGTTAAAGCTGAGTGAAATATATTTTTTTGTATTAACAATAAAATATTTAATGGCAGTATTGAAAGGAAACTGTACTTTTCTTTCCTGGTATTGTATAAAATGCAAAAGATTAACATCTTATTCTACTATTTTTAGCCAGATATTTCTCATTAATTGCAAACTTCTGACACAATTACTCAGCCACTTTCATCTTGCCTCTACTTCTTATTGGCTCAGAAGTTGCTTCAATATTCCCTGTACTCTTGTACTATTTCAAAGGGTAGATGGAAAGCATTGCTCTCACATAATCAACGCCTTTTTGATGGGAAGGTTTTAGCTCCCTATTTGACCTTTTTTAAAGGAATAGTTTTGCATAAACCCCTCTTCCCTTCCAGCTATAGTGCTATAGAAGCCATGTGCTGTGAGACTTAGTATTTCTTACCTCATCAGTCCCATTCCACAGAGAAGTGGTCCATAAAATTACACCTTTCCACTTGGCTGACAGCACACTATCATTTCGCTCCCTCTTATGGAGCAAAACTTCATGAAGTGAAAGGAGGAATAAAAATGAATGAAGGAACATGTTTTTCTCTCCAGGAACTCTGTGTAGTGACAAGAAGCAACTTTATTTGCGAGTCAGAAGAATCATAGACTCACAGAATGGTTTGGGTTAAATTGGAGCTTAAAGATCCTCTCGTTTCAGCGCCCTGCCATTCGAGGCAGTATCCTGAATTTGAAGAAAGTTGAAATTGAAAAGATACCCCAACAGTGCTTTGGCATTTATCCTTTACTTCAGCATTCATTTTACATCTCAAAAAAGACTAAGAAACTAAAGGGCTCTAGCAACCTTTCTAGCAACCTTTTACCTTCGGTCTCTTAGGCTTGTGTTAGGGAGCTCTAAAATGGCTGTTCAAAGCAGATGGAAATGGTTGAGGTTGTCATCTGAGATTGCTTTTATTCTCCCACAGCACTCATTAGAAATGTATTTATGTGATTACCTGTCCAACCTGAAGAGTATTTTTCCCAAAACTCTCTATGTATTTGAAACTCTTGAAAGATAACAATTTTGATCAGCAGAGCTTGAAAAGGTCCTTTCTTTAATTCTGAGGATAGATTACCATGATATTATTAACTAAAATATAGCTGGGTAAAGCTATAGCAGGGACAAGGTAGGAGACAGGAGGTGGGGTAAAGGTTAGTTGGAGAACTTGAGGACTAGGAATAATTTCTCTGTGCTGCTCTCTGAATGTTATCTCAGGCACAGCATTTCCTCAGCTATGTCTCCAGCTGTGATGGCTGTCTGGAAAGGTGACCTACTTACATTCCCATCTCATGCCTTGCTAAGGAATAACACCCAACAGTTCAGGAAGCATGCTGTTTAGGTGATGGGGTGGTAGATTTCCTGTGGTGATGAGCACGGTGAGAAAAGAATTGAGGGCAGTAACTGATGTCACCCAGGCTGCTCTGCTGTGGCTTTGAATTCAAAATGACAAGCAGCTCAAAAAGGCCACCCATTAAAGCTTTCCCCTAATGTGTGAAGTCTCCTCAAGCTAATTCAGCATACTATGGGATGTGCTAACAAATCCTGTATTATAGACTTCTGTGTTTGTAAAATAAACAGTTATGGATGCATTGTTACACCTGCAAGAGTGAATGGAGCATATTGATGATAACAGGTATACAATTCCTCATTTGTAAAACACTGACTCACCCTTCAGTGTTACATTGAGTGTTAGAACACTTGAGATTATTCTGATAACTTCTGTCTCTAGAGAGAATCCAAGAAAGATGAATCTGGGGTGAGAGAAACATAAAGGATGAAGGGAACATCAGTACCATTCTTTAATCACCCACTTCTAGTGATCCCGCAAAAGCCTGGTTTTGGCCCCATCAGCAGGTCTCAGGTGCCAGGGAGGTTTAAGACCATCCTCTACAGTACTTCTTGCACCCTTCAGGGGCTGCTGTTTGATGGGAGTTAGGCAAGGGGACAGACAGGCGACAGGACACTGTGCCCACAGGCTGTGAGCGACATTAAGAACTGGCAGATCAAAAGCGGAAAGAGTCGCCAGGCTTCGAATATTTGCATTTTACAGAATAAATCCCCAGTGTTTTGCCCTCAAGGAAGAACTGAATTTCCAGAAATATTTAAGGGATAATAGTACCCCTCTTCCAGGCATAGATTCAGACTTTGCTAGGGCTGACCCAGTTCTGTTCCTCCTTTAGTGAGTCAGTATCTCACTAGAATAGCAACATGTTTCAGTTCGTACACAACGTCCCTTGCCATTGCTAAGATTCAGAATATATAATTTAATTATAAATATAGCTATTAATTTCAGGGTCTCTAGGGATATGCTGAGACACTGATGCCTAGTTCCTGCATTACTTTATATGATATATTTTACATAGATTGCAGAAACACTTTTATACATTCTGCAGTTTAGATTAATAAGTGTATTTGCAGGAAATAAACTTTAAATCAGAACATTTTGCTAAAAACTTACCCTTCCCTTAAATTTGTGGTCTGGCTGAAAAATTTAGTTTATATAAAGCACTCTTGTCACAAATAAACATATTGTCCATGAGCAGGGACTCAGGACTGTGCCCCTTCCCTTCTATGTTCTTAGGGGCATCAGTTCTTAGGTTCCCCATATTTAGGGCAGGACCAGTAATTACAACATCAGGTATAATATTCTCTTCCACTAATGCAAAGAACTTGCACCACAGCAAGATACTCCAATAATACTGCAAACTGGCAATCCTCCTACCTATCTTGGCTGTTATGGAACACATAGTGTCAGAGATGCAAGGACTGGAAATATATTCATCTGCTGTTCTTATTTTCCTGCTTCTGCTAAACCATGAGGTTGGCTTAATTACCATCAGATTTAAGCAATAATAGCAAGAATTAAATTCTTCTTATTTGCCTCAGATATTGGGGACTTATTTTTACACCTATGTCTTATTTCAAGCTTTTATTCATAGCAATCAGAGACATCTTCTTATGTGGAACTTTATTTCTAAAATCCTGTAGTCAGGACTTTGCCACATAAGTAAAAGTATAGAATCACATAATGGTTTGGGTTGGAAGCAAACCTTGAAGATCATCTGCTTCCAGCTCCACTGCTGTGGGAAAGGGACACCTTGCACTAGACCAGGTTGTTCAAGCCACTGTCCAGCCTGGCCATAAATTCTTCCAGGGATGGAACAGCCACAACTTCTCTGGGCAACCTGTTCTGGTGTCTCAGCATCCTTACAGTAAAGAATTTCTTTATAATATCCAATCTAAACCTACTTTCTTTCAGTTTGAACCCACTTGCCTTGTCCTTTCTCTACATGCTCTTGTAAAGAGTCTCTCTACATCTTTCTTGTAGGCTCCCTTTGGGTACTGGAAGACCACAATTTGGTCACCCCTAAGCCTTCTCTTTTCCAGACTGAAAAATCCCAATTCTCTCAGCCTTTCCTCTTAGGAAAGGTGCTCCAGCCCTCTGATCATCTTGGCTTTCTCTGGACTCATTCCAACAGGCTGAAGTCCTCCCTGTACTGGGGCTCCCAGAGTTAGACACAGCACTGCAGGTGGGGTTGCACCAAAGCAGAGCAGAAGGGCTGAACCCTCCAGCTCACCTGCTGCCCTTGGTGCTCTGGATGCAGCCCAGGATGTGTTTGGATTCCTGGGCTCCCAGTGCACATAGCTGGATCATGTCCAGTCTCCCATCCACCAGCACCCCCAAGTCCTTCGTGGCAGAGCTGCTCAATCTGTCCACTCATCAAATCTACCTCTCTCCAATTTAGAGAGAAGGAAGTTGTGGAGGTCTGTTGTGTCAAAGCCTTTACAGAAAGCCAGATACATTACATCTGCCTTCCCTTGTCCCCTGATGTAGTCACTCCATCATAGAAGGCTACAGGGTTGATTAGGCAGCACTGAAAGTTGAAAATGTGCTGGCTGTCCCAGATCACCTCCTTGTTTTCTATGTACATTAGCATGGCTTCAGGCAGAGAGGTGAGGCTGACAGGTCAGTAGTTCCAAGAAACCTCCTTTGTATTTTTAAAGATGGGGATGATGCTTCCCTTTCTCCAGTCACCTGACTGCCATGACTTTTCAAATATCATGAAGAAGGACTTGGCAACCACATCAGTCAATTCCCTCCAGACTTATTTCTGCTTTCACCTTCTCAGTGATGCCCACCAGATGCTGGTTGCTCTTCAGCATCCCATTGGGCATCATAAATACTTTGGTACCCTAAAGCATCTCTTCACAGTTTTCCAGTTTTTACCTTTTCATACTTGGCCCATATCTAGGCCATCATAGCTGTGAGAAGCATTGGGTCTGTCACTAGGAGGTTCATATCCAAATATATTTGAGGTCATTGCTATTCAGGAGAGGCTCCTTAAGGAATTCATCGAGTTCTACCAGCTTTTTTGGTTTGCTATGAGGTCTTCAGCCTCACTCATGATCCACTCCCTGAAGGAGCCCACCTTGAGCTTCGCCTTGTATCCACCTTGAGCAGCAGGGTACTCCTGAAGCCCATGGTTGCAATCTTATTCACTGCCCTGCTTTTTCCTCACCTGGAACTAAACTCCACAATCTTACTCCAGCCATTTGCAGCATTTGACTCCACAATGGTCACTGCAGCCAAGGCTGCCCCCAACCTTCATGTCTCCAGCAAGGCTTCCTTGGGTGTTAGTGTGAGGGAGCAGCACACCATTCCTTATGGGATCCACTGTCTTCTAAGTATAACCTCCATTCTTCTTGTGTAATAAAGAGACTTAAATCCAACCTTCTATCTTCAAGTTTTGAAGACGAAAATCTGCCTATAATGATTAACTATGCAAAGATGATTATGGAGTATCATTTCATTAACAGAGGTTCAAATTTTCATCTCTGACAGCAAAAATGTGCTGCTGAAGCTGTAGAAGAGCCCAATCGAAAAGAAGGGTTCAGAGGTCATTTTGAATTTGTAACTGATGTGAAGTTCTAGTGAAAATGAGCTCATGCATACTTCATGCTGCACAGATCTCACCTAGTGAGAGTGGGAATAAATTCTGTTGGCCACAATAAGGAAAATAAATACTGTACTGCTCTTGTAAAGAAGTGGTTTGATTTTAACGACCATTGGAGGGAGATAGCACGTGCCTCCCACCCTCTGTTCTAACCAACACTTAGCAGAAGAGAGAACATCAGTCTAAAGTGGACATGCAGCACCACCTCTCGTTGGGATTGCTTTCTGCAATGCAATCCCTGCAATCTCCCTCCTTCCTCTTTCCTGCCCCCCTGAAAAATGTAACAACAGACTGGGACAAGTAGCACAGTATTTTGCTTTCATGAATCTGTAAAAGTACAATTATTCTGCCTTCCTTGAAGGCTACGGGATCAATGTGCTCACACATCTCCTGTAGAGTGTTAAAATTTACATCCCTCAGATTAGATGGAACTGTCCACTTGGTCAAACTGCCTGCCAGAGACTTCTGCATGCTGGCATCCCAAGAGTACTCCAGACATGCCAAGGTATATGCCATATAACCTCTGCCGTGGTTTAACCCTGGCCAGCAGCTAAGCCCCACACAGCCACCTGCTCTCTCCCCCTGCTGGATGGTGGACCAAATGGGAAAGGTGGAAGTGAGAAGACTCGTGAGTTGAGATAAAGACAGTTTAATAGGCAAAGCAAAAGATGAGCGCACAAGTAAAGTGAACCAAGGAATTCATCCACTGCTTCCCATGGGCAGGCAGGGGTCAGCTATCCCTGGGAAAGTAGGGATAATAGTGCATAATAGTGACTTGAGAAGACAAACACCGTCACTCTGAATGTCTCCCCATCCTTTTTTTTCCCTAGCTTTATATGCTGAGTACAGCAGCATATGGCCTGGAATATACCTGTGGTCAGTGGGGGTCACCTGTCCTGGCTGTGTCCCCTCACAACTCCTCTGCACTTGCATCTGTGAGTTGCAGAAAAGGCCGTGGCTCTGTGTAAGCCCTGCTCAGCAATAACTAAAACATCCCTGTGTTATCAATGCCATTTCCAGCACAAATCCAAAACCCAACCCTATATCAGCTTTGTTCCAGCCAAAGCAGTAACATATCTTTAATGAAACTAGGACTGGGAAAAGGAGCCATTTCCTCTATTGAGAGGTAAGAATGCACATTTACCTGCTTTGCTAAGGAGGTAGAGTAGCACAGAAAGGAAGCTCTTAAAATTGATCTGTTAATATCAAAAAATTGATATGGATAGCAGGCTTCCATGGAACTGTATTTTTCATATAATTCAGCCATCCTGATGATGTTAACTCACAGTAATTTTAATTTTTTTTTTTCCTTGAAAGTCACTATTTTGGTATAAAGATAGATCCTTGGTTTTGGCTGGAATTTCCTTAACAAACATTAAAGGAATAAAAACTCTTTCAATTAAGAGTAGTTGTTCTTAGAAAACACTTAAAGCCAGTTAGCATATAAACAGTAAAAATTTCAATATGGATCAATGAAATTTAGGCAACTACAGCTATAAACAATCAAAAAAGCCTAGGAAAATTTAGAAGTTTCCAGAGACTATGTGAGAATCTCTTTCTACTTTTGTCTATTTTTGTGTAATATTGTCAAGAACTGGTTCTGTTTTAACAGCAAAGGTTAACAGGTATAATCGCAGACTGACTGGCCCCTTCAGTATTTTAGGCAATTTCTTCTCCCACTTTCAAATTTGTTAGTGGTCTTTAACAAAATTAAAAAACAAAACCAAACCCTCAAAGATGAGGCATTATTATTATTGTTGTTATTATTATTATTATTATTATTATTATTATTGTATTATCTATAAATAATACAAAATGTGCAGAGTTTTTAGAGCACTGAACTCCATGCTGACTTTCACTTATGGAACAGAATAAAATAATATTTTCTCTTAGTACAGAGCCTGCTATGGGAAGAGGTAAATTGGTGCTTTTAGGTAGCATGAATGGCATTGTATAATGATATAATAATAATTTTACTCTGCTAACAAAACAGGACAGTGTAGGAATCCAAAATTCTTTGCATATTATTTGTCACAATCTAGTCTTGTGCAGATAACAAACTAAAGTGCCACAGACTGATTTACACTTCAAAGGAAAAGACTGGTTTTGAGTATATGTACCAAACTTTTGGCTGTGGGCTTAGAAAAATAAATCACTTGTCATTTTTGTTTTGTAGGCTATTGAAAATATGATGACTAATTAGAATGAAAAAATGCAGCTTCATTATTGATTGAACTGAGCTGCATAATAATGCACTATCAAAAGTATTTGGGAAGAAAATATTAAATTAGTATTAAATTAGTAACATCAGACTTGAAAGTTTGTAAAAAGTGCTTATAAATAATTAATCTCAGAGATTATAAAAAATTAAAAATAACTCAAATCTTGTGAATATGTGCAGTCCTTATGCGATCAAAAATCCCACAGAAACAAGAAGTTTGCCTATGAGAGAGAAAACTTCAGGTCTTAGGAAATGAAATCAGATAGAGGAAGGATATGCATTTGTCATGGTTTGACACTGACACAATGCCAGCACCCCCCACAAAAACGCAACTTCCCAAACGAATGCTGTGAGATGCAATCAGGAACAGAGCAGAGCAGGCCCACGCTTAATAACAAAGGAAAAACTTTATTAAACTACTACTACTATAAAAGGAAAAAGAAAGAAAAACAGATACTAAAACCAAAATAAAAACCTTCCAAAACATTTCTCCTCCCCCTGTCCCAATTCCAATAAACCACAGTGAGACACAACTTGGACTCCCAATCAGGTTCCTACCCTCCAGATAATCAATACTCAGTCCATCAAGGGAGAGAAGAGTCTCTCCTGTGCCACAGACCCCCAGGAAACACAGCTGTGTCCTCTGATGTTTCCATGTCACACATGGCACCGCCTGGAGAAAATCTGCCCACAGTCCCCCCCATTTTCTTCCTCCACTGGGCCTGAGAGTCTCAAGAACAGAGATCATCTTCTTTCTGAAGACAGAGGGCATCACCACACCCTCCTCAACTTTCCTCTGTTCACTCCACTCCTGTGTTGGTAGTCACTGAGGCAGGTCTCTTGGCTTACGATTGCATCCCCCTAAAATACAGTCTCTCTTGGAGGAGAAATTGGTTCAGTCTATGGCTATATAAGAAAAGTCCCACCAAGGCCACTCCATCATCTCCTCCCACCTAGAATTTCTCCATCTAACATCTCAGTCCCAGACTGTCTCTTGTCTTCTCTTTCAAAACAAGGAGGAGTAATATTTCACAAAGCTTTCATTTCCCAAGGAAGGGTTAAAAGTCCCAACTCCCCAGATGGCTCTTGGGATCTCTGCCCAGACTTCCAGCTCCCACGACTGGGTACCTTCCCCTCCCCTGCTCCTTCTCCCTTCTCCTCCTCCTCCTCCTCTGCTGGCACCATCGCTGTCTCTTTCTCTCTCTCTCTCCAGAGAGACTCTGGGGGGGGGAACGCAGACATCCCAGATTTCCTCCACCCTTCCATCTGCAGGGAGCTGGCCAGTCCAGCGCCTCCACCCTTCGGCCTTACCTCAGCCAAGCTGCATGGCTTCTCCCCATGGCTGGGCAGGGAGAGTCTGCTCCCTTTGATGACCGGGACCAAAGAGAGAGTTCCCCTGGGAGTTCTGCTTTTAGCCCCTCTGTGTTCTCTGAGGCATGTCATGCCTTCAGTGGTCAGTCCAAATGCCAATATCCAACCCTGACCACTGATTGTTTTGACCCTCTTCTTCCTGAGAAAATTCTCTTCCATGTCAAACCACTACAGCATTTTATTAAAAATTGTCCAATCTGAAAAAACATTTCTCAAGTTGAAGCTGTAGTCTAATCCTTCCCAATAGACATTTATTATTTTCTAATACTGTTTTTTGCACCTTTTTCTCTGAAACAATAACAGTGCTTTACAAGGGAAGATGATGCCATAAAAGCTTACCATTCTAACTCCTCTAAATTTGTTTGACTCCTGTAAAATTGATCCATTCCCATGACTTTATAATCTGTGTTTTGTTTTCATGAAGCAAAGAGATAAGAGGGAAGTATGAACTGTTTGATTTTCCTCCACTGCCCAGCTCCAGGGAAGAGAGAAATTCCCATCTGTCCAAGGGTGATGGTCTGAGGCAGTACTCACATGGGTGTTTTGCAGGGCTGGTAACTGCAGATGAGTTATGTGCTTGAGACACACCACAGACCCCTACTTATTTCTAGCTATGCTTTGTGCTGTGGTTCATGCCTTCAGCACTTAACTTACAACTGTCTTTGTCCAGAACAGCTCTAGCAAGTCTAGCAGAAGAAAAATTTTAATTGCAAGAAGAAAGCTTAAAGTGCTGAAGATAAACCTGGTTAGCAGAGAAAAAGGACAGCAAGACCTGTGATTCTCCCCATCAATAGCAGCTTGCAGCAGGGCTTGAAACAGAGAATCTGTCAACAGCTGCTATGTGAGCTTCAAATAAGTGTTGAAGTGTTCAGCTCTTATTGAATCCCCTGCCACTGCTGTAATCTTCCTCAGTCATTCTCCTGCTTATTTATGGCCCTGAAAATTTCCTGGTGGGTCTTTTGCTGAAATGCCCTTGTAATGAGATTCTACCAGCTCTTCTCTGTTCCTTGTTCCTCAGATGAGGAAAATGCCACCCTCTGAAGGAACCAGGTTTGATCACTCAGTAGAAAACACTGAAATTAAGAAATAATTAAAAAAACCCCCAAAAACAACCAACACTCTCATGCATACATAGGACTGTACTAGGAGAAAGGTTAAATTTTAACTGTATTATACATACTCACTGACTTTGCAAAAAAAAGAAAATCCTCATCATGTCCAGTATTGCAGATATGTGCACTCACCTTCAGTGCCAGTTTGCTAAGAGGAGCAGGAGGATGGAGTTAACAAGCTCAGATGTGCACAGAAGAGAAGCAATGCTTCCTCAGTCCTGTAGCTGTACCTTTCTCTTGCACCGTTTCCAGGTTGGTTTTCCTTTGTTTGCCATTGAGGTAGAGGAACACATTCTCACTGTCCCTTCTGAAATCCTCCAGATCTAAGGCAGAAGCAATAGGATTCACGAAAGAACACAAGTAAGGTTCAGTTCAAACAAAAATCACAACCATATCTAAAGAGGAATTATAAAATTATTGCCTTTTACTGTTTTAAGTGATGATAGAGAAATCTATGCAGATACAGCCTTAAAAAATAGCAGAAGAACCATCTAGTTATTGCCTCATAAAACATGATGTTTTTCATTGCTACTTGAGATTTTAGAAATAACTGTGAAGACTTTTCTGCTTTGAAGTGCAAAATAAATTGGATTGTATAGAGCGTCAGCAGTCTTAGGCAAAATTAAGCTTTCAGGGAAGCTTAATGGCAGAAAACAGAATGGTATTTAAATTACAGGGCCATAAAGGACAGAACTATCAACAAGTGAACAAAAAACAGAACCCATGAAGAAAACTCCCAGAGCAAAGTACAGTTATTTCATTCCATTAAGGGATTGAGCTTCTTCTCTAATTTTTGAAACAGATGGTATGACAAGATTGGCAATGCTTTGCAGCATGAGCATCATCTAACTCAGAGCCAAGCTGAAAATAACAAAATGAAACTCAGTATGGAAAAAGACTCAAGCTAACCCATGCGTGGGGAAAGAAATTCAAAACAAAGAGATGGAAGCAAAAGGAAACCTGGAAAGCAAAAGAGGGCCAAGGAATGAGCGACCCACAGATCCACTAAGCCAGGCAAGGGGTTTCAACCGTGCAGGCTCAAATTATTCAAACTGGAACATGACTGGCACGTTGTTACTTTAACTTTTACATTTAACTAATAAATTAGTTAATGCATAGCTTTTAATGATTAGAACTCACTGGAGCTTGAGTTTCTATGCCTTTGCTAAAACTTTACATACCCTCCTGACCTTCTCCATGGCAGACATGAAGCAACATATTTTATGGTTCAGAAAGTTTGTAAATTCTGTCAGAGTTGCAGATTGCTCTTTTTCCTCTTTTCTTCCCCCCAGAAGGTCTGATCCAGTTCCACAGTGTTGCCTTTGGAAACATCAGCACTGAGAACTGCATATTTGTGTGTTTATCATGAGCAAATAAATACTTATCTGGTCCATCTGTGTGATTAGATAATGTGACAGAACCCTCCTTTTCTGTCCAAAGTATTTGGAGGAATTTCTGTCTTTCTTGATTAATTAAAAATAAAAAAAAATGCAATGCAACAGCACTTGCTGTACATTACGTTCCCTCAATATATTCAGGTATAACTGCTTATGTGTAGTAGCCAAACATAGCCTTTACTAATTTTCATGTGGGTGAAAAATTGAGCTAATTATAACTCATGCACAGATTTGATGGCTGTGAGTAATTCCAATTCTTAAGTTTCAAGACTTGTGGTTTTGTCCTTTTACTGTTTGCCTCCTTAACATGTGAGCTTCACATTGATATCAGACAAAGAAAAATCAACAACAAAATGAAGGAAAAGTGTTTAAACCAAAAAGCACCAGCCCATGGGATGGAACTGTCAACCTTTAGGAAATTTGTTTTGGATATTTATTAGATTTAATTTTGTTTTGAAAGAAGGATTATAAACATACACGGTAAAGAATCTGAGTGAAAATTATTTTCCTTTTCAATTCAAAATATGAGAATAGCAATGATTATCATGTGCCAGGGTTTAGATTTTCCATTTAACACAGGAGTTACCAAAGAAAATCTTTGTACTAGGTTTGTAAAGAATCATTGCATGAGTAACAGATATTTGATACTTTCTGAATAATACCTCATGTTCCAAATTAAAACTAGCCTTTTACAGAAAGTTTCTCTTTTGACTTGGTTTCAAGTCATTACAGTGACTCATTAAAATACATTGTTTTTGAAAATTCCCTAAAGCAGTAAAGGAAGTGTTATTCAGCCAGATCATCACCCATAAGGTACAGGTTTGTAATTTATATGCCTTCTATAACACAAATCTATTTTTTGTTTTTAAACTGACAATGTGTCCCAGATTTCTATTTTTTTGCAACATTACAGGCAACTTTGAGATGCTGGGAGTTGCTTTGGGTATGTGGAAAGGGATGATCATGGGGATTCATCCCATCATTACCTCTCAGGATGAAAATGCGGCATGTCTGCCCTTGTCAGCATGAAGTTTCACCAAGGGAACTCGTGTGTACACATGTAAGAAACTGCTAGCAAACCCTTATGGTGAATTTAACAGAATGTAGCATATGTAATACACTGGTTGCACAGGTCCTCTGTGGATAAATGCCTGTGCTGAGGCAGGTGTCCTGGACAATGATATCAGAAGGTTGCAATGGTGTAACTGCAACAGCAGTGCAGAGTGGAGAGGAACATCGGGTTAATTTTCACCTGGTGCTTGAGGAGACTTTGGTCCAGCTGCATCCCATCAGGAGTATGTCCTTCTACCTTCCTAGAAGGTCTAGAGCCTTTCATCTCCCCTGCTCATGCTTTTAAATGTTCATTATATCCCTGGACATTGATCTAGATTAGTGTCCTGACCACAGTCACTGGAGAATGTTTCTCTTAGTGCAAAGTATAAAAAGGTCAAACTGAAGTCATGCTAAATGAGGATATTAGGTGTACTTTCTTACAGTCAAACATAGCACTTGCCTAATAAATCCAAAACTGTTCAAATACTTTTATCATGCAGATAATTTTATTAAGAAGAAAAAGATACTGATTTGTTTTTCCAAACTGATATGTTTTCCTGATGTGTTCATTCAGCTTATATATACTGATCTGCAGTGTCAAATGGGCATTCATCAAGGCTGAGCCAACAAGTCTGTGCTGAGGATGGCACCTCCAGATACCCTGAACTGCCCCTGGGAATGCCACTGTCCCGGCTGCCTCCCTCCCCAGGCAGGGCAAATCAGCCTGGAACAGGCAGAGCAGACAGGGTAGCCTTCCCTTGCTGCAGTCCATGCTCCAGTGGGGCTGGGATCCCCAGGGAATGAAGCCATGCCTAAAACTGGTGATGTATCAAAACTCACCTATGATCTTCTCTCCCATTAATAAATAGCTGGACCATCTGAGGTGCTGCTGGCACTGTTAGAACTCTGCTTGCAAAAGGAGCTGGTATCTGGCAGGTTTGCTTGAGTGAATAAAAAGTTATTTGCTTGAATTTTTTATTCCTGCTGCTTTGAAAGTCTGTTTGTTCTGACACCATTACCAAGCAGTGATGAAATGCCCTCAGTAAACACAATGATTTCAGGACAGAGGGGAATTTCACATCATAGTGGCTGGACTGTAGTCTTTCCCCTTCCTGCTGGCTGCCTGTCTGCTTTCTTCCTCTTCCCCCCTTCCCTCTCAGTCTCCAAGTCTTTTTCCTTCCCTCCTTTCCCTTATGAAAGGATAAATACTCCCTCTCCAATTCTTTCTAAACTAAGGGGAGATATTGCATACTAAGTTACATTTAGTATTTTGGCTCTGATCTAACCAAAACACAACCAAGGAGAGTTTTATCCTCCTCTAGAGATCTTTATGTGACTCCAGGGACTAATAATGAATATTCAGCAGCTCAGTTATGTACTATGGAAACAGGTGGATAACCCAGGGGGAAAGAGAAATAAAAGGCCTAATCAAAGGAAAGAGATAACTTGAAGATAAATGTGATAGAACCATGAAACAGAGAATTACAAAAGGCTCTTCCATATTGCAGAGGTGTGGAGGAGAAAGATTTTCCCTGCAAAAGATAAAACACTGTGAAGAAGAGTCACAGAGGTTAGGAGAAAATATTCCTGCTGTCATAGGTATGGGCCTCTGATTAAATGATACTTTGAGATTTGTCCCATTGGGATGGAGACATCCAGCTGCTACCCTGCTCCCTAGATCTGGCTCAGCCATCTCACCTAGCACAGTTATTCAGGAAGCAAGAGGCTCCCTAATCCTTCAGCACTTCCTTTCCAGCCCAGGCTGTCCCTGAACTGGTCCTGCCTCTGCTTCCCTGAGAGTGTGAAACAAGGAGCAGACACCTGCTTGCACCAACAGCTGCATCTCTCCTCGCTGAAATGGCCAGTGCTCTCACATCCATGTGATCTGCAAGCAAAAGGAACATGCCCTGCCCTGCAAATCTGACCCCACAAATAACATATTTAACCCACTTTTAAAGCTGTTGAGTTAGATTAAATGGATTGTCCACAACAAAACCAGCAGCAATGAGTAAAAAGCTTTCCCAGCTGAAAACCAGGTCTCTGTGCTGTTCTGTAAGGTGTCTGATTTGAATTCTATTTCCTTAACACATTAATAACAGGCCAAAGCCCCAGATAATTACTCTTTCTTTTCTGTTGGAAATTAAACTGGAACACTGTGAGCCTTCTGTGCCTGTGGAAGGTTTCCTTGCTGGATCTTGGGGGACTACACTGAAATTACTTTGCAGATTCTTCTTCCTTGGTTTTGGAATTTGTGAATAATCAGCAGGTGGTTTTGGACATCAGTCAGGAACTGTACTTTAACTGAATTATTTAGATGAGAGACCCAAATCATGGTCTCAATTTTCTTAAGGAAATCTGTAAAAGCTCTTTCAGATTGAAATACGATGTTTCAGGTTTTGGCATTGCTCCTGAATAACCTTGCAACACACATTTACCAATCAGCTACACATCTGGGGAGCATGCCCCCCAGAGCCTCTCTGAATTTAGAAATTAAAAATCAAAATAATTTACTCAAGTCCCCAGGCAAAGCAATTTGGACTTTGATTTCTTGTAGCATCTTTTGGCTGATTTATGCTATGATTAAAATTTTTGTTGCTGATGATGCATTATGCATGCAGTAGCTGATGAAATAACATCACAGTAAAATCTAAAAATAGTCATTCAAGTATCCTTTAAAGAAAACCTGACATGAATACTAGCTCATACATCAATGAAACTGAGCTGCAAAGGCACATTCCTCTTACCCACACTTCATGCAGAATTGAAAGTCCAGACAGATACCTGTTGTGCACAATTCTGCCATCTAAACCTCAGAGGTGATTTGATTTAATTTAATGAGACAGTGAGAGTGGTGAGGTGTACACTGAGTTCTTCTGTACAGCACAGGTTGATAGTTTTACCCATTTTGTCCCTCTCAGTTAAGGTGTAGCAGTTGGCTGGTTGTGACTGCTCCTCAGCAGACC